GCCACGTAGTGCTCCACATGCAGCGTGAGCGCACGGCCGGTGCCGGGCCCTAATGATCTCCCTGCCTGCGATCCCCCAGCAGATGCCCCGTGCACATCCCAGACGTCCCCTCTCCGCCGTGCCTTGCATTGAGCGTGCCCAGCAAGAGGGGCATGTCCTGACCTCACGCTCTTGAGATGGCAGCTGTCGAGAGCTTCAGCACCACCCACCCCGGCGACCCCCAGCCCGGGGACCTGATCGAGATCTTCCGGCCAGCTTACCAGCACTGGGCCCTCTACCTGGGGGACGGGTACATCATCAACGTGACACCCGTAGGTAAGGCTGGTGCAGCCCAGCAGGGTGCAGAGGGGGCTTTGGGGTGACCCAAGAGCCCTGTCTCCCTCCATGGGCTGGTGGGGGACCCTGTGTGTGTAGATGGCGTTTCCAAGAGCCAGCCAGAAACCCCTCTGAGATTTTGGAGGGGCCAGACAAGGCCTGCCTGGCTCATCCCATCCCTACCTTCCCCAGATGAAGGGCCGCCAGCCACGTTCGCCAGTGCCAAGTCAGTGTTCAGCAGAAAGGCCCGGGTGAGGATGCAGCTCCTGAAGGATGTGGTGGGAAACGACACCTACCACATCAACAACAAGTACGACGGCACCTACGCTCCCCTCCCAGTGGAGGAGATCATCCGGCGCGCTGAGTACCTCATTGACCAGGAAGTGTCCTACGACCTGCTCGGTAACAACTGCGAGCACTTCGTGACGCTGCTCCGCTACGGCGAGGGGGTCTCCGACCAGGTAAGTAACACGGGGTAAGCCCCTGCATGCCTCACAGTGCACCTCCTCGCTGCCTGGACCAGGGCACAGCATGCAAACTGCACGGGGACAGCAAAGCCCCAGGCGTGGGATCCAAACCATCGCTGCCTCTGGCCTCACCAGAGACCCTGGACCAGGAGGTTCACTATGGTCTGTCTGCACCCTGATAGTGCCTTCTTACTGAATGCCACAGCCTAAGGGTAAACGCGTGGGTGTTACCCCTTCTGCTTATTGGGCAGGTGTCTCTCATTCATTTAATTGCCTTCATTATCCCTGCCTGCTCTTCATTAGCGTGCCTGGGGGTAAAAAAAAAAAGCTCCTCATGTTTCCAGCCTGTGTTTTACTTCCCCCTTGCAGGCCAACCGAGCAATCAGTGCCATTGGGTTTGTAACAGCTGCCGCAGGCGCCTTCTCCTTGCTGGGCTTGCTCCGGAGCAGATCCAGAGAGAGACAGTACTGACGGGCTGCCGGGATGAGCTCAGAGCAGGGCAGGGGGCCCCCGGCCGGGAGGGACCCGGGACCGAGACTTACTAACAACTGTGTCGCCCTTGCTGAGAGCAGCACTAGCCTGTTTGCCACACCTGCTTTTAATTCGTTGCCTGTGATGATTTTTGTGGTAGTCTGGGAGCGCTTGCAAGCAAATTCTCCATCCTCACACCGCTGGTGCTCTGCTGAGGGCTGGTGCAGGCTTTCTACACACATCCTGCTTTTATCAACTACATCCTGTGGGCTCTTTCTGTGAATAACCTATTTTTAACCTGCTTGAAGAAACATTTTTACTTTTTTTTTTTTAAACAAAAGTAATCTAAAAGTATCGCTGAGGGTTTATTGTGTGTCCTCTAGCTGAGAGCCTGTGCAAGTGGAAAACCACAGGTTCCCAGGCCTGTGGAAGGGCAGACAAGGCACGTGCTGTGTCTCGGAGCCTGTGCCTGCAGTGCCTAAACTGAGCCGCTCCTGCAAGGGCAGGAGGTAGGAGGGAAGGGCAGGTCTTACAGGCTGTATCCCTCAGCGTTTTAAATGAGTGCTCTGGTTTTGGCATGATGGTGTTTTGCTCAGTTTTCTCCTGTCTGCAAAGCGTCCCTTTCCCTGGCTCCTCTGACTCCCTTTGGGAGCAGCAAGCCCCAGTCCAGGGGATCTGACAAAAACCCAGCTAGCTTTTTCTCTGGCAGCTGTTTGTTCCAGGTTGGGACCACTGTGCCACTGAACTTTCCCTCTTCATCCCTGTAAGTGCAGTAATTGTTGGTATTGGACCTGATCAAGCTTACTAGATGATCTTTAACCATTTTATGA